AGGTAAAAAAAAAAGAGGAGTTTAAAAGAAGTCATTACCATTAATGTATTGTACATGAATTAGCTGCAAAAGCTGCTTAACTACAGCAAAAACAAGTAACATTGTTTAATTAAACATATTATTATTAACATTTCTATTTAAGAGTTGGACTAGATAGAGGTTAGCTGTGGCTTCCAGAAAGCTGTTACGGGAATTCATTAACCTAAGGAAAATCACATGTAACTTTTATTAAAAGAAAAATCTTATATCTTATATGCTGTAAAATATGGTAATAAAGAATTAAATAGATTTAATTGATATATTGTAACATCTGATGAGTTTTGGTACTGTTTTCAATATACTGTTTTGAACAAATTGTTGATTTGCATCAAAGTAAAACTTAATTATAAACATTTTGACTTGATCTACATGTTACTAAAATTTTAATACTGGTACTTGCTTCAAAGCTGATAGCTCTTCATTCTTTGATCAGACTCCAACTTTGTCTATTTGTGGCTGAATTACATCAAAAACTATATTCATGTAACTCTTCAAATTTTTTAAATCTAATTACCAATCTAAAATGATTATTTTAAGTACTTGATTGCTTGATTATTTTAAATTATAAAATTATGTTCATTTTGCAGTTCTATCTACTTTGATATCATTTATGTATTTTTAAAACTGTAAAAACAATTTTTCTTATTACCATTCTAAATACAGTTTTATTCATTTAATCAGCCAAGAGAATCATTTAATCTTTTTTCTAAATATTTTTCCACATTCACTAGTTCCAGAATTTATATTTTTTATCAACATTATGGGTTTGAATTGTAATGAAAATCATTTTTTATTTTCCTTTACATCATTTTTTATTGTAATATATGTTGAACTTATAATTTGAATTTAAAAACCAATCACTGAATAATTGAGTGATTGATGGGCTGATTAATTAATTTTAATAAACAAAAAGCAGTTATAATTTTCAAATGTGTGAAATGGTTGGCTGATTATCTAATTATAATGAGGAAATCCAGACCAAAAAGGGACATTTCCACCATAATCCTTTTATCAGGAAAAGGTAAAATCTGATATCTTAAATTATATAATGTATATTATTATTAAGTATTAAAGTATTATGAAGTGAATTTTGGTTATATTTTGGGGTGCATTTCTAGATTTTAGCAAATATAATATGATCCAATAAAAAATTAAATTTTTCCAACATGGAAAGGTAACATTTTGTTCTGGACCTCCTCCATATATTTTTGTATAATATTTTTTTCTCTATTTTTCTATACTAACAGAAAACATTTTTAAAATGTGACATTTTTTTCCTCTTATTCTAGTTCTTATTTATTATTCAAAATTAATTCACTCTTTCTTGATCCAATTTTTAAAATAATAATCTTTATACATATTAGCTTTTAGATGTCTATTTATTTGTTAAGTGTTTTTTTAATAACAAATAGACATCGACAGTTAAAGTGTGCAAGATTTTTAAAAAAATAAAAATTTAAGCTTAAATTGTTTAGTATTGCTTATGAGAGTGAATATTGAAAATATGTTAACTTACTCAGAATCTTCAAAATGCTCATTTCAAACAGTAAAATATAAGAATATTATCATTTAGAAAATTTTTTTGTTTGTAAAGAAAGTATGTTTTTATCATTTATTACACACTTTAAATAATTCAAAACCAATGAATAAAATATATTATTATTCTGTATATTAATTTTTTATTGGTTCAAACCGAGCATCATAATCTATTTCTTTGGGGAAAAAAACAGAACAGAAAAAATTTCTTTGTCATTTTTTTACATACATATGATTATACAAAAATTTGGTATGTTGGTAAGGAAATCAGTTTTTTTATTGATAGTGAATGTGTAGAATCTTTGTAAACTAGAAACTCAAGATCTGTAGAATGTACAGTATATATATATCTCTCAACACTTCTTTTAACAAACGTTTATATGAGAGAAATGCATGTTTACATCTCAAAAACTGATTACATCTTTTCAAAACAATATGCAGGAAAATTTCAAGTTACATTTCAAATTCAATTGGTTAGAACATTATATGTGATTTCTAACATTTTGAGAAGCATCCAAGTGTTAAGTGAAATATGCATCTTAGGTAAAGCTAGTGCTGAAAGAGGTATTATAGTGACATATCATACTGACATCTTCTGTAGCAGAAAGCCTTAAACCCTTTCATGATATTATCTAACAGTACTCAAGTGATTTTCTGTTATTCAAGTATTTTTTATTGTACAATTTTATTTGCAGTTTTTAAAATAAATCTATATTGCTATGTACTGTTTAGTATGCCTTATCATAAATATAACTGCAGTGCAGCATGCAGATTGTATATTGCATACAAAGAAATTATTTCATATCTATATTAAATGTTTAGTGATCAGAAAGCAATGTATTAAGCATTTTATATCCCAATATAATAGTTTGTAACTTATAAGTATGTATTACATTTCTTTTAGTTATATTTTGAAAATTGAGAGTTTTTTGGGTTGACAATATAATGCATTATAATTTTTCCCATTTAAAATGATGGGGTAACTGACTCTTATAATATGGTCATATGTTCTAATTTAGGTGGGTTACTCCTGCATTTGAGTTTCATGTCCCACCATTCCCAAATACTTGGTGGATGCACAAATGTTCCACTTTAGGAGAATGGTATAACAACTGTTCTTCATGAAGATAGGAGGCATCAAAAGCCTCTTACCTTCAAAATCATAATATAGTAGTAAGTGATACCTCTGAAGCTGCCATTTGGCAGCTTCAGAGATATCACTTACTAAGGCTGAGACATGCATTCACTGAAAGGATCTCTCATGTGAAAACTACATGGACAAAGAAGAAAATTCAACTGTAACATTGAAGATGATGTTTCTGGTGAAATATAATTCTGATGCTTCTGCTACTGAGAACTTGTGTGAGAAACTATATGAAGCAATCATACAGTGATCAGATCCTATGTGAAAAATTCATTCATCAGTGAAAGATTGTGCAATATATGTGTTTAAGTGTAATATATCATCTGTTATGAAGCAATTGGATGGAGGTGACTCATGAGACAATTTGAATTTAAAATTGTCACAGCTGTAAATTTTAAATTGTCTCATTTCAGGATATACAGAATACTACAAAAAGTTTTTATACTATCCTATATATCCTGAAATTTAATCTGCTCTGGTGTCCATTGTAGTTAATTGTTAATATAAAGTCATCAGAAACAGTGCACCTGGGTCAATGGAGGTTTAAAAATTAAACATGTTAATAAATTTTTGAATTGATGCTGATTTGAAGAGAGAAAATTGATTATCCTCTCCTCTCCCAGATATCTTGTGTAACAACCTTATTCTTGTTGACTACAAGTCAACAAGAGTAAAGTTGTTGATTGTAGGGTGCAAAATAGTTTAAGCCATTGAGAAGTGTTGATGGAATCAGATATACAATATCTGAAATTGGCAAAGTGAAAAGTGCCCCACTTTGGCTTGCAAAAAATATGGCAACTTTTGCTACTGAATGTTTAGAACACTTGATTTTCATCTCATTTGATTCTCTTCACTTTTTCATATCTTAGGAACTCTATGTAACTCATACTTGGAAATGTTAAAATTCATTATTGCCATTTTACTGTACAGTACTTACAAATTAGTTTCCCTTGTTATATCATCAGTTTTATCTTTTATTCATATTATTCTACTTTTATTTATTCCCAAAAATACAGTAGGAGGCCTAGCTGAAAAGATGTGAATATCCTTGTTCCAAAACTTCTGTATACTCTTTCCTGCATATAAAAACAAACAAGTACAAGACCAAAGACCACCTTAAAGTAAGATCACATGACCTCAAAAATCTGGATGCTAATCACTTCTTGTTCCTTGAGATGAACACATATATGTGATCTGTGCTGTTTGTTCATATATATTTTATAATATCTTTTTAATATGCAATTGCTTCTCATACATGTGTCCAATAAAACCAATGTACGTTCATTATGATTTTGTGATAAATCTTTTGATTAGTCAGTTTTCTAGTGAATGGACAATCAACTTGAACCAATGATCTGATTTCATCAAACCTTAGTGTAGAAAGTCTTGTCATCATGTGTTCTGCATGGTGATACACCATAAGATTAAAAACAGACCTTTATAGGTAAAGACCTATAAAGATCTGTTTTTAATCTTACGGTGTATTTCTTAGACTAATGCTTCCTTTATGTGGACTGCTACTCTAAAATTGCCACTGATGCAGCACTCATTTAAATGGGACTGCTTGGCTATCTGTGATCTGTTAATGGGAGATCCACTAGTGTAAAACATAGGAGAGAAAATTGGAAATGTGGGAGAGTGCTCTCTTAAGTGAACTGCTTTCTTATCTGATGCTTTGCTTTGTTAAATGGACTTGACTTAAAACTTATAAACTTAATAAACTGCTTTCATTGCATTTTGTAAATTAATGGTAAAAACTGTACAATAATTTTGCTGTTACTTAAAATTGCTTATAAGAGATTTTTATTTTGCAAGTAAAATCTGATATTGTCATCCTAATGCTAAATCATATTCATTTATATTTCATATGAATCAAATAGTATTTGAATCACATAGTTTTATTTATGTGAGAGTATTAAGATACTGAAATTTAATAGTTTACATAATCTAAAACAAAAAATTATGTGTAATATAATTTGCACTAATTTCTTAGTTATTTTTTTATTGCAGTTCTGTTTTGCAAAATTATAATGATTTTGTTATCAATATTTTATATTGTAAATTGCACAATTATTCTGCATTTCTGTTAAATATTGCTTGAATAAGTGTAATTTTAACTTTTTTTATATTGCATGATACATTAAAGTAAGGCTTTAGTGTTTGTTAATTCAAGTTATAATTGCTTTATAATAATTATGCATGTAATCCATAGCATGTATAGTACCCTTTGTGTAGTCCTAACCCTCCCTTCGTTCCTGGGGAATTTCTGTTGCCCTCCCAGCCCTCGGCTACACCAGGAATCGTTCCTTTCCTGAAGAAAGACCGGACGAAAGCAAGCGCCACACTCTTTCAGGTCCTCCTACAAGAAACTATTTGGGAGATGAAAATCAAGATAAGACAAAATTAGCAAGTACACCTGAAGAAATCAGAGAAAAAGATAAAGATTTAGATGCTGATGAGAAGAAAAAAGAAAGTAAAGTGAGTGTTAATTTTTTTAGTTAAATCTATGGAAGTAATTATTTATTCTCAGATAAAACAAATTAATTTTAACTTCTCAATGTATTAGAACAGTTGAATGAAATTTGATAAAAAATTTATGAATTCAAACACTATTTACCTGGCTAGGGCTCATAAATAAAGTTGAAAAGCATTTAGTAAAGTGATTTAACTACCCCAGTGGTAAGGTGTTTTATATTTAGTTAAAAATAGGAGCTGGGTTATAATGGATTGTTTGGTAAAAACTTCAGATAGTAACTTGTTTCTCATTTTTTTAAATATACAGAAGAATCTGTTTTTAACATATTGCTCAGACACCGAAAATCATCTGTTGTTCCGCAAATCCATTATGTTATGAACAATGGATTTCCTGCACACTCAGGAAAATATCCGTTATTCAAAAAATTTTCATTTTTTAACCACTGTACATATATAGGAAATACCAGAACTTGAAATTATTCAGTCTCTTGAGATCTTCATTCTTTATCCTATAGAAACACATATGTTTGTAATGTACATGTATATTATGCAATATATGATTGTATATTTTGCCATACGCGTGTACAACAAAACTGACGAAAACTGTACATATTGTAAACATAAAAAGGCAAATTACATATGCTCATTAGTACTTTGCTTGACTTTACAGTTTGTTAAAAAAACTCATCCATCTTGGTTTCTTTTGATCCTGCTTTTCTATCTATTGAATACATCACTTGATATTAGCAATGTCATGCACAGTACAGCCTGTTTGTTTATGCTGAAACTCATCATAAAGGTCTTCGTGACCTGGAAATACTGTATGGCCTCGCTAAATTTTGGCACTACACTTGGACCAGTGAATGAATGTTAACTAATTGGATCCTCCTTAATTGTATCTGCCAGCTGACTCTCTTTGTACAATTCTTCAATTGTACTTATCCCAAATGTAACAAGTGCATCATCAAACTCTAAAAATTTCTAGAAACAAATAACCCAAATATGAACTAAACATTGAAAAAGCACAAAGTTTACAATAGATTGAGGTAGAAAAAATCCATTATTCCAAGTAAGAGATCTGCTAAACGGAGGTACCTAGAAAAAATCCGTTATTCCATGATCGATTAAAACAAGATTCTACTGTATATAACAAATTAAAGAAAATAGAAAAATTATATATATACATGTAGATATTTATATGAATAATCAGTTTAAAAGTTAAGTTTGTCTAAACAAAACAAAGTTCTTAAAATAAAATGTATTTATAGAAGCATAAATGCAATTTGATTAACTTTTTCTCAGTTGTACAAAATAGAAACAATTGCAGAAAAAGAGATTAAATTTTATAATTTTAAGGTTTTTGAAATTTATGTAGATTTCAAACATTATTTTAATTTTACTTTCATTTTTGTCATAAATTTTAATCCTGATTAAATAAAATTATATTTTCCTTCATTGTCCAGTTAGCATCTTTTATGATATTGTGAGTGATATCATTGTGTGGCAGGAATTTTGATATAATCATTACATATAAGCAGTGATGACATTCGAAATATTTAACAAAGGGTTCGCTAACAGAAAATTTTTCCTTAACAATTTTTTTTCGCTCAAATGGTGCATCGGAAGGCTCTAGTTTAGTAGTGTTACAGAGAATAATACGTATATTTTAATATTTTTAAAAGAATCAAAACCATTGAGAAATGTTACATGTGTTTAACAAGGTTCGGAAAACTTTGAAAATGTTAACAACGGGTTCGGCCGAACCTGTGCGAACCCGCTGAATATCACCACTGTA